ATTATTATTATTATTATTATTATTATTATTATTATTATTATTATTATTATTATTATTATTATTATTATTATTATTATTATTATTATTATTATTATTATTATTATTATTATTATTATTATTATTATTATTATTATTATTATTATTATTATTATTATTATTATTATTATTATTATTATTATTATTATTATTATTATTATTATTATTATTATTATTATTATTATTATTATTATTATTATTATTATTATTATTATTATTATTATTATTATTATTATTATTATTATTATTATTATTATTATTATTATTATTATTATTATTATTATTATTATTATTATTATTATTATTATTATTATTATTATTATTATTATTATTATTATTATTATTATTATTATTATTATTATTATTATTATTATTATTATTATTATTATTATTATTATTATTATTATTATTATTATTATTATTATTATTATTATTATTATTATTATTATTATTATTATTATTATTATTATTATTATTATTATTATTATTATTATTATTATTATTATTATTATTATTATTATTATTATTATTATTATTATTATTATTATTATTATTATTATTATTATTATTATTATTATTATTATTATTATTATTATTATTATTATTATTATTATTATTATTATTATTATTATTATTATTATTATTATTATTATTATTATTATTATTATTATTATTATTATTATTATTATTATTATTATTATTATTATTATTATTATTATTATTATTATTATTATTATTATTATTATTATTATTATTATTATTATTATTATTATTATTATTATTATTATTATTATTATTATTATTATTATTATTATTATTATTATTATTATTATTATTATTATTATTATTATTATTATTATTATTATTATTATTATTATTATTATTATTATTATTATTATTATTATTATTATTATTATTATTATTATTATTATTATTATTATTATTATTATTATTATTATTATTATTATTATTATTATTATTATTATTATTATTATTATTATTATTATTATTATTATTATTATTATTATTATTATTATTATTATTATTATTATTATTATTATTATTATTATTATTATTATTATTATTATTATTATTATTATTATTATTATTATTATTATTATTATTATTATTATTATTATTATTATTATTATTATTATTATTATTATTATTATTATTATTATTATTATTATTATTATTATTATTATTATTATTATTATTATTATTATTATTATTATTATTATTATTATTATTATTATTATTATTATTATTATTATTATTATTATTATTATTATTATTATTATTATTATTATTATTATTATTATTATTATTATTATTATTATTATTATTATTATTATTATTATTATTATTATTATTATTATTATTATTATTATTATTATTATTATTATTATTATTATTATTATTATTATTATTATTATTATTATTATTATTATTATTATTATTATTATTATTATTATTATTATTATTATTATTATTATTATTATTATTATTATTATTATTATTATTATTATTATTATTATTATTATTATTATTATTATTATTATTATTATTATTATTATTATTATTATTATTATTATTATTATTATTATTATTATTATTATTATTATTATTATTATTATTATTATTATTATTATTATTATTATTATTATTATTATTATTATTATTATTATTATTATTATTATTATTATTATTATTATTATTATTATTATTATTATTATTATTATTATTATTATTATTATTATTATTATTATTATTATTATTATTATTATTATTATTATTATTATTATTATTATTATTATTATTATTATTATTATTATTATTATTATTATTATTATTATTATTATTATTATTATTATTATTATTATTATTATTATTATTATTATTATTATTATTATTATTATTATTATTATTATTATTATTATTATTATTATTATTATTATTATTATTATTATTATTATTATTATTATTATTATTATTATTATTATTATTATTATTATTATTATTATTATTATTATTATTATTATTATTATTATTATTATTATTATTATTATTATTATTATTATTATTATTATTATTATTATTATTATTATTATTATTATTATTATTATTATTATTATTATTATTATTATTATTATTATTATTATTATTATTATTATTATTATTATTATTATTATTATTATTATTATTATTATTATTATTATTATTATTATTATTATTATTATTATTATTATTATTATTATTATTATTATTATTATTATTATTATTATTATTATTATTATTATTATTATTATTATTATTATTATTATTATTATTATTATTATTATTATTATTATTATTATTATTATTATTATTATTATTATTATTATTATTATTATTATTATTATTATTATTATTATTATTATTATTATTATTATTATTATTATTATTATTATTATTATTATTATTATTATTATTATTATTATTATTATTATTATTATTATTATTATTATTATTATTATTATTATTATTATTATTATTATTATTATTATTATTATTATTATTATTATTATTATTATTATTATTATTATTATTATTATTATTATTATTATTATTATTATTATTATTATTATTATTATTATTATTATTATTATTATTATTATTATTATTATTATTATTATTATTATTATTATTATTATTATTATTATTATTATTATTATTATTATTATTATTATTATTATTATTATTATTATTATTATTATTATTATTATTATTATTATTATTATTATTATTATTATTATTATTATTATTATTATTATTATTATTATTATTATTATTATTATTATTATTATTATTATTATTATTATTATTATTATTATTATTATTATTATTATTATTATTATTATTATTATTATTATTATTATTATTATTATTATTATTATTATTATTATTATTATTATTATTATTATTATTATTATTATTATTATTATTATTATTATTATTATTATTATTATTATTATTATTATTATTATTATTATTATTATTATTATTATTATTATTATTATTATTATTATTATTATTATTATTATTATTATTATTATTATTATTATTATTATTATTATTATTATTATTATTATTATTATTATTATTATTATTATTATTATTATTATTATTATTATTATTATTATTATTATTATTATTATTATTATTATTATTATTATTATTATTATTATTATTATTATTATTATTATTATTATTATTATTATTATTATTATTATTATTATTATTATTATTATTATTATTATTATTATTATTATTATTATTATTATTATTATTATTATTATTATTATTATTATTATTATTATTATTATTATTATTATTATTATTATTATTATTATTATTATTATTATTATTATTATTATTATTATTATTATTATTATTATTATTATTATTATTATTATTATTATTATTATTATTATTATTATTATTATTATTATTATTATTATTATTATTATTATTATTATTATTATTATTATTATTATTATTATTATTATTATTATTATTATTATTATTATTATTATTATTATTATTATTATTATTATTATTATTATTATTATTATTATTATTATTATTATTATTATTATTATTATTATTATTATTATTATTATTATTATTATTATTATTATTATTATTATTATTATTATTATTATTATTATTATTATTATTATTATTATTATTATTATTATTATTATTATTATTATTATTATTATTATTATTATTATTATTATTATTATTATTATTATTATTATTATTATTATTATTATTATTATTATTATTATTATTATTATTATTATTATTATTATTATTATTATTATTATTATTATTATTATTATTATTATTATTATTATTATTATTATTATTATTATTATTATTATTATTATTATTATTATTATTATTATTATTATTATTATTATTATTATTATTATTATTATTATTATTATTATTATTATTATTATTATTATTATTATTATTATTATTATTATTATTATTATTATTATTATTATTATTATTATTATTATTATTATTATTATTATTATTATTATTATTATTATTATTATTATTATTATTATTATTATTATTATTATTATTATTATTATTATTATTATTATTATTATTATTATTATTATTATTATTATTATTATTATTATTATTATTATTATTATTATTATTATTATTATTATTATTATTATTATTATTATTATTATTATTATTATTATTATTATTATTATTATTATTATTATTATTATTATTATTATTATTATTATTATTATTATTATTATTATTATTATTATTATTATTATTATTATTATTATTATTATTATTATTATTATTATTATTATTATTATTATTATTATTATTATTATTATTATTATTATTATTATTATTATTATTATTATTATTATTATTATTATTATTATTATTATTATTATTATTATTATTATTATTATTATAGATTAGTGGAATAGTCTCCCACAAGTAACACGTAGTTAAAATCGCTGCAGCAAACATCGTTCAAATATCGGGTTTTTGGACTCGGAAAATTATAAATTTGTGTTTAGAACAGTGTTAAATGTAATTTGTATTTGTGAAAGTGTTTGTGTCATGTTTTAACTACTTTTCTCTACAAAAAATAGCGAAAGTTTGCTTTTGGATTATATTTGTGTGGTGATTCTACAAGTGTTAGTGCAATTTTTCATCGTCAAATAAGTGAAAAACGTGTATTCGTTGGATTCTTCAATAAAAACAGAAGATCATACAAAAAACAGTGAGTAAATAGAACATATATTCGGCTTTTCTGAGGTTTATTCCACCACGGTTTAAATTAATTTGTGAATAATATCAGACCTTGTTCAATTTTTAATTTTTACTTTAATTCGAGTAATATTATAGTGAATTTTATCGGCAAGAAGATGAATAAATGTAAAAGGTGTGGAAATTCGGTTACTACTGGTCCGAAATGTATTATTTGTGGTGTAATGTCGCACAATAGCTGTCTAAAGATGCTAAGAAATGCGATTATCATAGATAACAAAACGTCAAATTGTTGCAATACGGACTCAGTTGAAACACCTACGAACATTTTGGAAAATATATCGGTAAATGAATCTGTTAATGAGGTTAAACTTAAATATTTGGAGGAAATACTTAAACAAAAGGATTTGGTAATTGAGAATCAAAAGATTGCAATAGGTGCTCTGCAGGAACAAATAACTTATCTAAAAGTATCTAATACTCTTGATCCCAAACGTCAAACTCCTGATGTTACGACTCAACTTTCTACTAACAATTCAAATGGCAAAAATATGGTTAAAATATCTACTCGGGACGTATCGCAAGCTGTTCACAATGCTCACGCTCGCGTTATATGTGACAAATATGTGAATGAGAATACAAACTTGCAACAACTTGAAACTGATAATGCCAACCACAATTATTATACTTCAGGTAGAGTTGGAAGAAGAAACCGAAATTTGATCATGGGTAATGCAAATACGACAAACTGTTCTTTAAAAGCTGCTATTCGTACAGTTTACAAACATCTGCACGTGACCAACATGGATCCAGCGACATCACAGGAGGAATTGCTATCTTACTTACAAGGTGTAATACCGTCAGTCAAGGTGGAAAAACTGAATTCCCGTTTCCCCGATGATTACGCTTCTTTTAAAGTATCGGCACCTATCAACGAACATCAACAGCTACTAGTACCAGAAATATGGCCGGACAAAGTCATGATAAATGAATTTGCTATGTCACCTAGGTTTCGTCAACAAAGCAATAATATGAACAATAATTTTCGTGCCTAACATAATTAATAGCCAGAGTAGAAATAGTAATAAGTTTTCTCTATTTCATATAAATATTCGTAGTTTAATTAGTAAAATTGATGAACTTCTCATTTATCTCATTAAAGAAGATTATAGCATTTTATGTTTTTCAGAACATTGGCTGGACAAAATTAGTTTAGATATGGTTAATATTAGTAATTATATTATGGCTTCAGACTTTTGTCGCCCTACAGGAGCTCATGGAGGTGTAGCCATTTTTATTAAGCGGGAAATTGCATTTAAAAGGGTTGATTTGAATATATTTTCTGTACCTATTCATGCAGAATTTTGCGCTTCGGAAATAATTAATAGTAGTACAATTGTGGTAACAGTATACAGATCATCCAGTCATGGTCACATTAATATTTTTAAGGAAAAATTTTGTATGTTGTTAGAACATTTATACAAAAGGTATAAGAAAATTGTTATTCTAGGAGATTTTAATTTTGATTTTACTGAAGAAGATAACATACACACTAATGAAATATGCAATTATTTAACTACATTTGGGTTACACTATTGTATCACTGAACCCACAAGGGTCACTGTCAATAAAAAATCAAAATTAGATAATATAGTTACAAATATTGACCAATCTGTGTATACCGCTGGTGTATGTGATCCTGACTTGTCGGATCATTTTGGGCAATATATTGATATTAATTTTAACAATGTTAATTCGAATAATTCCAACTTAGCATATAAAAGAATTATATCTGCAAGAAATCTTGATAGCTTTGCTGATAGACTTTCACAAATAGAAATAGATGTTGATGAAATGAAAATCATGAATTGCAGTGATCTGACAAATCAAGTGCTTGGCATATTTACAAATTTGATTGACATTTGTTTTCCTTTAAAACAACTTAAAAATGGTAATAAAGAAATAAGCTGGTTCAGTGCTAACCTCCGCAAGTTGCGCAGTCGGAAACTCTTAGCAAAAAATAAATTTAACCTAACAAATTTACAATCAGACTGGGACATATATAGAAATCTTCGAAATGAATATAATCGCACAATCAAATTAGAAAAAAAGAAAACATATATGGATATGATAGAAGTGTCAGATAATAAAGCAAAAACTTCTTGGAAAATAATTAATTCTGAGAGACCCAATAAGAAATCTGCCAACAGCTCATCTATTTCTACAGAAGACTATAATAAGTTTTTTACGACAATCGCAGGTAAGATAATCAACTCCATAAGTGATATTCAGCATGATCATGATTTTAATCATTCTTTAAATGCAATGCCTAAACCTATAGGTTCTTTTTTCATGTCTGCAATTACCAAAGGTGACGTTAGAGAAGCAATTCTAAAATTAAAAAATTCATCTAGCATGGACTATTACAATATATGCAATAAAATTATAAAGTCTAGTGTCGATTGGTTAACCACACCCCTCACTTTGTTGTACAACAAATGTTTAGAAGAAGGACATTGGCCGACTTCCCTAAAAATAACAAAAATTGTCCCTATCCACAAAAAAGGCGATTTTGACACACTAGATAACTACAGGCCAATAGCCATAGTTCCTGCACTGGGTAAAGTATTAGAAATAATTGTAAAAGAAAAATTAGTTTCTTATTTTGAGACTAAATCCTTATTTTGCGAATCCCAATTTGGATATAGGAAAAATAAATCTACTGCAAAAGCACTTCTTAATTTGGTAGATAAAATCGTAGAAGATTTGGATGATGGGCGCAGATCTCCAGCTTTGATGTTTGACTTAACAAAAGCATTTGATTGTGTAAGTACCAATATTCTGTTAGAGAAGCTAGAATTCTATGGTATACGGGATAAGCAATTACAATTATTTTCCTCTTATCTAACAAATAGAAGTCAGTATGTTACTTGTGGAGGTAAGAACTCTAACCTCATGCAGATTAAACATGGTGTTCCTCAAGGATCTGTTCTGGGCCCGATATTGTTCATAATTTATATTAATGATCTTCCTTCAACTTTAAATAGCTATTGCCTGCTATTTGCCGATGATACTACTATAATATCAGATAGTAGGGACCATGATCCGGCAGCTGTGACTCAGCAAATTAAAAACTGGTTCTCCTGTAATAATTTAAAATTGAATGAGGCTAAGACAAATAACATTACTTTTACCTCAGATAAGTGGGCAGAAAAATCACAACCGGTCCGCTTGCTTGGTGTCATTTTAGATTCGGCACTGAGTTGGAAACATCACGTCGATCAAGTTTGTAAGAATATGTCATCACAAATATTTATATTACGCCAGTTACGGAAATGTCTGAGTACTAATATACTTAAAACTGTGTATTTCTCGCTTGTTCATAGTCATCTCTGTTATGCTGTATTGCTCTGGGGTAATTCCACATTTTCAAATAAAGCTTTTGTACTACAAAAACAAGCTCTACGTATATTAGCAGGAGTGCCTTTTGGCACTCACTGTCAATCTTTGTTTATACAATATAAAATCATGCCTCTACCTACAATATACATATACGAATCTCTGTTGGAAATCCATAAAAACAAAAATTTGTTTAACAAGCACCAAGATACACATAACTATGTCACGAGAAATGCACAAAATTTTGTACCATTGTATTCAAGACTAAAAGTAACCAAAGATAATAAGTTGGATTTGAATCTGTATAATAAATTTGTTAATAAAATAAACAACTGCAATGTTTATGATCTAACTTTTGATACGTTTAAGAAATTAGCTAAGACATATCTACTAAAACACTGTTTTTATTCAGTGACTGATTATTTTAATTCGTAGCGAGTTTTTGGTACTGTTTATAAAAACTGTAAATCTAATCTGTCATTCTCATTTTTACATCATTGATTTTTTACATTATCGTTTAGTTATATACATATAAATTTTTTACATCATTGTTCACATTTGTTTTTACATTATTTTATATTACTGTGCATACCGTTTTTACATTATTATTTTATATTATTGTTCAATATGTTTTTACATTATTTTATTGTATTTAGACTGTACCATGATAGTTATTTACTCTATTTTCTATTCTAATGACTTGAAATGTACTTTTGTATATAAATGTGGTCAATAAACGCTTATATATATATTATTATTATTATTATTATTATTATTATTATTATTATTATTATTATTATTATTATTATTATTATTATTATTATTATTATTATTATTATTATTATTATTATTATTATTATTATTATTATTATTATTATTATTATTATTATTATTATTATTATTATTATTATTATTATTATTATTATTATTATTATTATTATTATTATTATTATTATTATTATTATTATTATTATTATTATTATTATTATTATTATTATTATTATTATTATTATTATTATTATTATTATTATTATTATTATTATTATTATTATTATTATTATTATTATTATTATTATTATTATTATTATTATTATTATTATTATTATTATTATTATTATTATTATTATTATTATTATTATTATTATTATTATTATTATTATTATTATTATTATTATTATTATTATTATTATTATTATTATTATTATTATTATTATTATTATTATTATTATTATTATTATTATTATTATTATTATTATTATTATTATTATTATTATTATTATTATTATTATTATTATTATTATTATTATTATTATTATTATTATTATTATTATTATTATTATTATTATTATTATTATTATTATTATTATTATTATTATTATTATTATTATTATTATTATTATTATTATTATTATTATTATTATTATTATTATTATTATTATTATTATTATTATTATTATTATTATTATTATTATTATTATTATTATTATTATTATTATTATTATTATTATTATTATTATTATTATTATTATTATTATTATTATTATTATTATTATTATTATTATTATTATTATTATTATTATTATTATTATTATTATTATTATTATTATTATTATTATTATTATTATTATTATTATTATTATTATTATTATTATTATTATTATTATTATTATTATTATTATTATTATTATTATTATTATTATTATTATTATTATTATTATTATTATTATTATTATTATTATTATTATTATTATTATTATTATTATTATTATTATTATTATTATTATTATTATTATTATTATTATTATTATTATTATTATTATTATTATTATTATTATTATTATTATTATTATTATTATTATTATTATTATTATTATTATTATTATTATTATTATTATTATTATTATTATTATTATTATTATTATTATTATTATTATTATTATTATTATTATTATTATTATTATTATTATTATTATTATTATTATTATTATTATTATTATTATTATTATTATTATTATTATTATTATTATTATTATTATTATTATTATTATTATTATTATTATTATTATTATTATTATTATTATTATTATTATTATTATTATTATTATTATTATTATTATTATTATTATTATTATTATTATTATTATTATTATTATTATTATTATTATTATTATTATTATTATTATTATTATTATTATTATTATTATTATTATTATTATTATTATTATTATTATTATTATTATTATTATTATTATTATTATTATTATTATTATTATTATTATTATTATTATTATTATTATTATTATTATTATTATTATTATTATTATTATTATTATTATTATTATTATTATTATTATTATTATTATTATTATTATTATTATTATTATTATTATTATTATTATTATTATTATTATTATTATTATTATTATTATTATTATTATTATTATTATTATTATTATTATTATTATTATTATTATTATTATTATTGTTGTTGTTGTATTGCCATTTATTTGATGTATATTTTTTATTTATTTTTCTTGAGAATTTTTAGTAAATATAATTATATAAATCTTTGTATGGT